ATTATGAGTTACGAGCAGACTTCTATTGACTACGCTCTACGCGTCTCGCACTGCGCTTTGAGTACTTTTTTCACGACTACCTAGGTAGGCTTTAAGGGAATTGGCGTAAGATATATGGCTACCCAAGCTGAACTTTATCTGTTCAAGTTCCCCTTTGGCTCCGTAATATAAATGTAGAATAACAAGCGGTACTATATACATAAATAATTTGCTTACCTCTTGCCTCGAGAGTAATATATGTGAGTTTGCTTGGGAGACTAGCCGGTGCGGAAAACAGAAAGCATGAAGTCGCGAGGCTGGTGTAGGCCAGAGAGTAGCATTTTATAGATTTAATCCAGAAGTGGCAGGCTTCAGATAGCTACGAGCGAGAAGGTATGTCTGTCAGTTCAAATTGAATCTAGGTTTTGAAGAACCCCCGTCTGCCATTCTCTTTTTCCCCTCTCCCACTCATCTGTCACCATCATCCCCAACATGAACAGCAGCAGCAGCAGTAGCACCAAGTGAACGCTATGTCTTACTCGATCTACTACTAAGTACTATTTCCCACCTCTCAATCTCTCTCAGCTACAACCCCCCAACCCCCCAACCCCCCCACCTTTTATCTCCTCTTACCTTACTCTCCGCTCTACCTTATAACGTCACTAACGGACCAAAATGTCTCGATCTGCCGCCACTAACCCATCTGAGGCAACTCTGTCTAGAGAAACCTAGCTCCCCCTCCCGATTCGCTCAACCCACAATGGCCGTTCCTCCGCTCAACCGGCAACCCTAACACGTTAACGGCAAAACGACATCGAGCATTTCAACTTCGAACACATCAAACTTACACTACGGAATTTGCCCGATTTTAACGTCATGACTCACAACAACCGGGCCCAAGCCAGGTGCATCTCGCGTTCACTACAACTTGAAGGGGACAGTGGTCACCTGTGGGAAGCTTCACCGTACAACAAGCGATCTCCGCGCACAGCCGATAACTGCGTTGTTACCACAGCAGTGCACGACCTATTTTGGATGCTCAGCTCATGGGAGCCCAAGGACAACTCAACTTAGGGATCGAGATCTACTCTTCCAGTCGAAGATCTCTTGATCCTTCCGAGACAGCTTTGGTCCCTGCTAATCACGTAATTCTAGGTGATGACGCGGGTATATATTTCAACGAAGCTTACAAGAAGTATTGGTGGCAAACCTTGCCGGAAGCCCCCGCCGTCACGAGCCTCCTCGGAGTACGACATAACCCAGCCTGGAAACCTGTGACGCTCTCTGTCTCTTCATGCGGGCCGCAGCCATTTCTGCATACTTTCATGCCTTGTGGCGAGAAACAAAGCAATTTCTATGGCCGCTGGTCTGACGAATGAGACGAGCAGCTCAAATGCTGGGACCCTGAGAACCGATGCCCGGCTGTAGCAAATCCACATCACCACTGATCCCCCCCTTGGCCGGAGTCTGCCTTATTGGTGCTGTTAGATATACCCTTTAGGGGGTGACGCAGGTTTTGTCCGTCTCTTGATGCGCGTAGTCTATAGATAGTGGAGCAACGCATTGACTTTCCCTCGAAGTGAGATTTTACACTTCGCCGAGATACAAACTACCTAAAAAATTGTTGTTCCCAAGCTCGGATCGCCTTGGGTGTGTGACCGTAGCGACGGGGCATCCCCGAGTAGCAACATCGTTGCCGCTGTGAGCGCCAAAACTCCTGATAATACAGTATCGCCTGTTGCCAGGGGACATGGGGAGCCAAGGCGTATTCTCAGAACGTATACCTGCGTTCTGATGGTCTAAATGCTGAGCTACAAACTTGGTAGATCCTGACTATACCCTAAGTAGGCTAGCTTAATTTGACTAGAGGACTCAAGTGGCCTATGCATATACTGGTCAGTACTACTGGTCTTGCTGGTCCTACTCAAGGATATGAACATAGTTTTTGGTGTTTAATCTGTTGTATGTCCTAGTTAACAAATCTCTTCCTCTTTTTATTCCCGACGTGCCAGAGTCTGAGTTAACTAGTGCGTTAACTACAACGAGGCGATGCTTTAACTGAATTATACCATTCACAGCGACAAACGCTCAGCGCTCGTTCTTCGGAAAAATCAATACAATAATCAAAGAGTTTTATCTAAGCTCTCGAGTAACTTGCTGGTAACTTCGTCTTTTCTTTCTAGCGCTCGACTCCTCTAGTCAACCCAGCCTTCGTCGGCTCACCGCCTATCTAGTTGTATCTTGGCGCATGACATAAGCTGGTTGCAATGAATATGGGGCTGGCGGGAGGATCCAGCTTTGCTTACTCTCAAAACACATAGGAACTCGTATCAACATAACATCGACCCCAACTGTACATATTCGAAGTCAGTGTGATCATCATCGCATTGAACATTTCTTACATTACATGTTTCTTTAGTTGCAGCCGTTGCGAAACGGCTAAAGTGATCAATGTTTAAATTACAGAGTCAGCGGATATTCGAGAATAGCAGATGGATTCCTACTCGAGGTGGCCTTGCCTACTTGGAGGCTGTGGAACATTCCGAAAGTAAGTGATTATATGACAACCCGGTGCATTTTGGAAGCGAGCTCATCGATTTGAAGGTAAACGGCCATCAAGTAAGCTTCTGCATGGATATCTATATGACCATGAATTAGAGGATTGGCTACACCAACGCGACAAGTTCGGGTCCGGATTGGTACCGACAATTCGGTTACTTTTCTGTGATCGCATTGGGTGGAAGCCGCTTGGGTTTGCCATGTCGGGCTCTTCGTACATAGCGCTAGAAGAGGGATTCGGTCTCGGGCATCAAGTCCTTCCTTTGCTTTCCAAAAATCCAGGCCAACACTCGTGCAGGCTGAAGTATTCAAGCGCAGGCGACACATTAGAGAGTCTAGGTAAGGCCGTATTCAAAACTCTAAATCCGCTCGCATATCAGCTAATATCTCCATCAACAGAATTCACAGTGAAATGGCCACAAATGTATCAGGTAGGCAATTGTGGTTTTAGCCTAAAACACGATTTCTCGACCCGAAGAACGCTATGTTTTACACATGGCTGGGACATGGTCGTCCAGACGGATGCAGTTCCTTCCGGCGAAGGGTTCAAGTCCTATTTCGATGAGATCGAAAAGCATATCAGGCCGGCGAAGCGCTTCTGGTCCCATCCCCTGTTCCTGCCGATTGTGTTCTTAGCCGAGCACTTATCGAGAGCAAATAGATTCAGAGCTGATCTATCATGGCGAGTCGTAGAGCTCGAAAAGGAACTGGGCGTTACAAAGTCGGCGACTCTTTCGTGGAAAGAGGAGAAAACATTCGAGGCGATCCAATCACTCATAGCGGACCGCCAGGTTCGCATGAATCTAACGGCGGAGTTGAACTCGCGGATTACGGATGCCACAAATTTTCAAACGGTGCTTTCATGGATTAATCGACATTGCCAGTTTCTTGAGAAATACAAGGAGACTGTTCAACAGTCAGTTCCTAATCTAAATAGCAATGAGAATAGGGAGTTAGAAGAGTATTTGGACACCCTGATATGCAATGCGATTTCAATGACCAACAATGTCGAAGCATTGAAGTCGAGACTCGAGCTACAGCTAAATGTGGTAAGAATAGGAACCTTTACCGCCCCATATATGATACGTCTACTAATAACTCTAACCTGCCTAGTTGTACAACTTCGTTGCTCAGGTCGATAACGACTTGAACGTTCGTATGGCTTACCGCGCCGGTCTCGATGGTACAGCGATGAAGACACTCGCCTATGTCACCGCCATCTTCTTACCACCAACCTCCGTGGCCGTATGTAAGGTATCCTTCGTTTCGAGAACAACCCCTAACCCATTTGTGACTACAGACCGTATTTAGCATGTCATTTTTCGATTTCCAGGCATCTACGGAGTCCTCAGAGTCGGTAGTGCTAGTGCCCGACTTCTGGATATTTTGGGTTGTCAGTGTACCCCTAACCCTCGTCATCTTAGCCGGGTGGCGTTTTTGGTTGCACTTTGAGAAGAATACGCTCCAGAGTGAGTATAACGTGCAACAAGAAGACAGGGATTTTGGTGTTGATAAGCGAGCGCGTCGTGCCAAAGGAGCTAAACTAGCAAACGTCTAGAGTATGTCGAGAAATATAGTCAAGCTAAGCACTGATTGGAAGGCGGCCGGTCGTGAGTGTATAGTCTAAGAAATAGCGCATAGCTACATAAACCACTAGCTCCTCTCGTGCGTAGGCTTCACTTCCATGCAAGCGTGTGGCGAAGCGGGTATGCGTACGAAATACGCACACAGAGGGCGCGGGAAACGTGAGCAAATTCTATTGCGAAAAGCACTCCTTTCTCAGTCTAGTCGGCGGGCCGCCGAGTGGGCTATACCTAGGGTAGTATAAGTCACGTGCCACATACTGCCTACACAGTACGCGTACGTAGAAATTACCGTTTGTACGTATGGTTATTACCATTCAAGCACCTTTCATTCGCCTGCCTTCAAGTCGACGTGAGCCACGATGCAGGCTTGGATGCGGGTTCCTCCCGAGTAATAACTAACGAAAAGCAGGAAGGGTAGTATCTTGTAAAGGAATTCATAGTACTGTTTAAAAATGCATTGTAGGCAACAAGTCTAACGATGAAACTTACCTCAATGCGCCTCACTACTTCATATGCAGGGTAAGAGGCAGACTCATCCCAAACCTCTAGTCATATGATAAACTCATCCTCGCAGAATGCGTAACACCTAAAACTTCACGATAAGAAATTGCAAGAAACTATGCGGCGGTTCTCTACTATTAGATCACGAGGTCCGGAGCTATAATTAAAGTTTGCAGGCGCTGCTTCCACAATCACGAATTACCCAATCAGATTCCAGCACCAGTAGTACGTTAGCGGTCCCACCGGAGATAACGGCCCCACCCCACCCACCACTTCGGGTGGACTCTTCGTAGACCCCGCTTTGCTTTGCTCCTCATAATCATCAAGATCCTGACCGATTCCCAACAAACAATTGGAGATCAACCAATCGAAAACGCCTCTATGGCACAGGGGTAATGCGTGTCACTTGTATTTGCAAGTCATGACAAGATCCGCGGTTCGATTCCGTGTGGAGGCATCCAATATTTTTTCCTTTTTTTGTTTCCCTTTGCTGAGCTCAACCTACGATCTATACGAGAGAATAACATTAGAGGTAAGTGTACATGTAGCAAGCAAGTTATAGTGAGGTCCCTCGCTCGATCCGGGGTAGGAGAATCTATATCTTTTTTGCCTTTTATTACTTTGTATAGCACAGTTTTTGAGCGCGAATCTTTGTTGCTTTTTTTTCTCTTGCCAAGACCTGCGATCTAAACGAAAGGGAAATTTTAACAGGGTTGATCACCTAGGTCCCGTGCATTAACAAAGGTCCATTGCATAGTACTTACTTTTAATTACATTATATACTGAGCGAAAACTCCTTGGACATGCAGATGCCAAGAGTAATTGACGATCGTTGTGATTGATTAGATAGGCTAGTAAATGGCAGCCTGGAAGGATCTCGGAAAAGTGGCGGCTTATGGACCTAGTGATGATATGAAAGAAGTAAAGAATATGTAATGATATTACGGTGTTGGGATCTATTTCCAATTGGAACCTAAATGGGTGTTATATTTATTGATCTCTTGCCTCTTCTATTTTCCTCGTTATAACTTCATGAATCTGTCACTTGTCTTGACATTATGAAGATCCAGTCTATTCTTAGTCTCCTCGCAGTCACCGCCGTCGCTCAGGACGATGATATTCCCGATCTAATCACGGACGGCCCTTTTGCCTTGAGAGTCAAGGGGCAAGCTCGCAACAGCTCAGTTGACGGTGAGATACATATGCTTGGTTTGAAGTGATGCAAGGGAAAATGATACCAATAGAATATCCTAGGTTATCTTTACGCTGTCGCGGCTCCGTCATTCCCGGAGGTATACCTATTCCTACACTATGATGCAGGATCCGCCCCCATAGCCGACAATTCGTCCTACCGATTCTACTTCAACTACACCGGAAGGATGCAGACGGGTACCGACGAGCTAGGATTCTTCGTTTCGGACATCACGATTGGAGAGCCGAATTCCGTTGGTCTTCTGGGCAAAGCTATGTCTTTGCAGTACAGGCCTAATACCAATGTTGCGGTGCCTGCGTTCGGTGTGAGCACGAGCACAGTTGACCTGACTGGCTTCGATAAGGATTATAAGGTCTTTCTCAATTACTATACGGACGACGCGACTTATGTTCCGAACCAACCAGGGAATTTTAGCCTAGACATAAACTACTGTAAGTCCGGAATCTCGAGCTCCTTGCAAGTGACTTTTACTTACTGGCCTTTTAGATCACTGGGCTATATGCTGGCAAACTTACTATTCTATTTCCGGTCCTACTTTATCCTGGATCATTACTGGTCAACCTCACAATCCGACTTGTGAACCCGTCGACCTCTTTAGATCCGACTTGTAGGTCGGGCCTTCTGAAAATGTGGTACTCTTCCGCCCGCCGCCCTTGTATAATAGGCACTGCATCGCTTTCCTTGATCAAGAGATTCGACGGGCGCTTGGTATGGAGATATAGATTCAAAGATATTATAGCTTAAATCGGTATCATCTCTAAGACTGAACAAGCTACATATCGCTGTGAGACATCCGGTGTTCGGGACTTGTGGCTTCATCAGGGAAAACGACTGATAGGAGCAAAATAAACATATCGCAAGATATAAACACGCAGAAAAGATATATGAGGTAATACTAAAAGATCTCCCAGAGTAGTCTTTACCGCAATCACAATTTGCTCTCTTCACGAATCCGCGTATAAGCGTAGTGCCATCCCTCGGTTTTCACTGTGTAACGGCCGGTTAGTGACTGCTTGTGCCAAGGCGTACTCTAGAGCGCAGGGAAAGGCATATCGACCGCATGAAAGCTAAATGTCTCATAGGAGATGAAAATCGTGGAATTTATTTTGGGGTTTATTTTGGGAGTACTTACTGTCCTCGCGTACTTTGTAATTCTCCTCCGCAATCTTTAGCACATTCATGTCTAGGTCGACGATTGATATACCCTCTGCGGGGCCCAGTCGTCCCAGTGCTCCAATGTGTGGGACACCAACTTGGCTTAGTCCGGCGAAGTTCGTTTTATTTCCTTTCTCAGGCGGGCCACCAGCATTAACGAATACAGTGGCGCAAGTATTCTCGAATGCTCGAGCCACGACCGTACTGTTGAGAAATAGGGCCTCTCCATCTGGGTTCAAGGCATAGCCCTCGTCTATCACATCGCGCATAGTCCAGAACGCCGGTACACAGATAATCTGCGCACCGTCAGCGATGAGCTCCCGAAATGCTTCCGGAAAGGCCAAGTCCCAGCAGATTAGCAGGCCCATGCGACCGAGAGGAGTATCAAAAGCCTTGTGAGGTTCGTGAGCTGATGATACGAGATGGTGTCTCTCTGGGTGCCATAGATTCTTCTTCTGGTATTGCGCGACAATCTCACCATCTCCCGAGATGAAGTAGGCATTATTGTACAGTGACTCGCCCTCCAATACAATGATGGTCCCCGGAACGATGCAGATGTTGAGCTCCTTAGCTAAATCCTGGTATTTTCGTAAGTATGGGAAAGACTCCGCGCATGACGCCTTGAATCCTGGTTCGTCAGGGACCCATGAAGTAAGATGGTACTCTGGCAACACCGCTAGGTCGCATTCTTTAGCTGCATCTCGTATAAAGGATGCGGCTTTCTCGAAGTTTTGCGCTGGCGACAATGGCTATATGAAGCGTAAGCAAGTATACGGCTTTCATAAATTACTTATTGACAGTGCGTAGAGACCGTGCAAGTGTAATGAAAGGAGTCTGAGGGCTGTTGTAATCTGATCACTTTCACCGGACGAATGGATTGATGGAAGGATTCGGAGAGCGCTATAACCTAGGTACATAGTTCTTCAAACTGCACAAGCATAAATGGGTGCTCACCTTAGGGTGAAGCTGGACTAATGCGATCTTGTAATTGGGTGCCATTTTTCGATGCAGGTGCAATATACTCAATACCGAGTCGCGTAGTTAAGAAGTTTAGTTCCCCTTAGATAAGGAGGCCCACTAAAATGGTTCGAGGCACACAGCCACATGAGTGCGCAGCCACAGTCACTCCATAGACATGTGGCTGCCCAAGCTCGACTCTCCTTCAAGTGCCCCTTCGGCTCCATGACATAAGAGTGGAATAATGGGGCGTACTGCATGTGTAAATTATACCAATAAAAGTATTATCTGGGCTTAATACGATGATATGATTTGTTTATCTTGCATTATTTGGTTATACGGTATGCCCGTTATTTCACTCCTATGTTACGGAGCTAAAGGGGCACCTAAAGGGCTACATTTCCTCCATTATCGCAATGAGTTTCAAATATTCTATTTCAAATTCGCGAAAGATTAAGACGACATAATTTATCTGTGACCTAATGAGTGGTTGAACAGCGCTGGGCACGGGAATTAGACAAATACAGCCCAAACACTAGGGAATCTCTGGGTTCCTGATTGAATTCTTGCGGGATATCTCACGTTATCATTTTAATACCTTCTCCTTGATCTCTTACCTGCCAGCCTTTCAATTCTCGATCAAAAGCCCACTGCTGAACCCCATGAAAATCTCTACAGGTTGTAGGGGTACGGTGGTAGAGCATTAGCCACTCCTCAAATGGAGCTCCTTCGTAGGGTATGCCGGCCTCCTTTTTCCATACTGATGCGGCGGTATTGCTCGCGCACATAATTCCTTGGAGAAGCCGGTCAACGCAATCTGTCTTAGTCGACGCCAATTAGTACATACTACATAAAAATTACGGATAGGCTGGCGCACGCTGTAAATGGCCGAAAACCTCTTTCTTGGGGTTCCCATTCTCATCATAGGGAGAGTATTTAGGGAAATCCCGAGTATAAAGCGTGTGTCTAATAGTATCCTATCGATTTTTTAGCGTTTTGAGAATCTGCGGGCGTAGTATCAGAAAGCTTCTGCTAACTCACTAGGCAGTGGAGTTGATGGAACATCTCTAGGTTGATTAAATGTTCTCCATCTGGTAGCTCAAAAGTCTCATTCGCAGTTAATTTTCTCGCTTCTTCGCGTGAGACTCGTGTTACAACACCACCTAGACTCAGTTTTAACTTCCCCATAATATTTTCATGATATACAGCTTGTAAGAAGGAATACGCACGGTGGTAAAGGTCGCGCCACATCTTGTTCCTCTCTGCTGTTGGCGGGCCTGCATACTCGGTAGTCGAGAAAGTTGTTGTCTTGTATGAGACAGCAGATTCGGCGGGTGCTAGAATTAGTTAGACCTACAACATGCTACCCAGATATTGTGACGATATACACGCACAGTAGACTGCTAGGGTAGGGTCTTTCCCCAAGGACCTCATTATAACGAGAGAAATCGAAGTTCCGACAACGAGAGCATAAAGTATGGAAAGGTGTATAATGTGCCAATAACGCGCTTTGAAACTTCGATGATCGCGAAGCTCATATGTATATCCATCAACCTCTGTAGAGTCCGTCGATCGCGAAACAAGACTTCGCTTCTCCTCCTTCAGGTCAATGCTGGACGTTACGTCCTGGCTATCACTTTCAAGCATTTTGGGAAACAACTTGTGATTTAGTGATGGAAGATTAGAGTTGGGACTACTTAGAGGCAGAAGGTGAAGAACAAAAGCAAGAAAAGTGGCTAGAGGACGAGTGAATATGGTAGAGGATAAAGTGGGATGGGTCTAGTCGCAGGATAGGAATTACCATACACATTAGAAAGAGCGTTTAGACATCGAAAGTTACGTTACATGTTCTAATCCCAGCTATCTGCTTCGACCTCGAACCGATCAAATTCGGACAAGATGCAGGATGCCAATTCACATGTCGTCAACAAGAGAACCAAAGTAACAATCCAATCGGAGGATCAGAAAGGCCCGGCCTTCTAGATCAGGCTCATCTATTGCGAGAATATGCGGCACGATCTAGACAGAAAAGCAACAGGTCTCGTCGTGTTTCCGCTCAGACCATAATCATGTTACGTAGATATTGCCATCTGCATAGCCTACTTGATACAATGTGCATATGTAGTAAGCTG